TAAAGAGACGAAAATTGTTTGGGGACTATCCCCCACGTTCTAGTTGAGATGGTATAACCCAAGAGGCAAAATGACGCTTGCTACTGTTGTTGCGAGTTGCCATTCGTTCTACTAAATCATTCGTCAAACGCCATCATGCCTTCTGTCGTTATTACACAAACAAAAATCTCTTTACTGTTACTAGTGTTAGTGCCTCAATATGGCTACGCTCGTGAAAGCAATACAACGAACTCAAACGCGTCTTCGTTCAATGTCGTCAACAAATATCCGGCTTATGCAAATTTTCCTCAATTCTCCGGAGAAATTTTCATAAAAATTTGAAAAACCCGGAATTCCGGGAAAATCCGGAGGACTTTCATCTCTGTTGTATCTTTGTTCTGTATTATTTAAGCCTCTAAGAAAATATTGATTTTGTCAGGTCAGTGACCTTCGTTCGGGTGGCTGTCGGGCCACCGTTTATGTTGCACCCTGCGTAGATGGGGAACCAAGTGGACAAAAATAATACCTGAACCTTTCATGCACGTCATGCTATTTTTGTCAGCGAACACGAAGTATAGATCGGTAGAATACTTGATTCAAAAATGTTCCAAGCGCTGCTTGCAGTTCAAAAACTGAGCGGCGGTTGCAACAAACCTGCTCCCATTACGCCGTTAACTCCGCTGGTCAGCACCAGCTCCTCTTTGGACTTGAAGGTCAAGAGCTGGTCGGCGGTGACCAGGGCCGAAGCCGCAAACTGAGCGCTGGCCTGGTCCAAGGTCTTGGACACCAGAACCTGAACGGACGGAGAGCGAATCGTCTTACGAGTGCACGAACAATGTGTGGTACTTGGCGGGGATGTAAACACCTGACTGATGAGCGGGCCGGCCCCGCTCAGGGAGTTGTAGGCGTGTTGGATTTGTTGCCGCTGCTGCTCCTTTTGCTCCTTGAGTCGCTGTTGCTGCTGTTGTTGCTGCTGTTGCTCCTTTTTGTGTTGCTGCTGATGTTGGCTCTGCTCCAGCTGCTGCTTCTGCATGACGGCCAGCTGCTCTTGGTGCTGCTGGTACTGCTCCGCCGTGAACACTGAAACAGGGCAAAAGAAGCGGAGAAAGTGGATGTTACTTTTCTGATAACTTTCCCGAGGCCAGCATGCATGCAAAGAGTCGCGTTGGCACCCAGTTGAAACCCGTCAGGCCTTTTTGGCTGAACTCCCTTTCAGCTTGTTTGTGGTCACGTCCCGGTTTGTTTGAAAAACACTTTGGTATGAAAACAACCTCAACTATATATTCTCAGCACCGCAATTTTTTAATGGAGGCATTCACAGTACAATCTTTCTACAGCCAGCAGAGCGTGCTTCCACTTCTGAAAGTCGAAATTGTGTCATTCATTCTCTCTGATGCAGTGCGGAAAGCCGTGAAAGTCCTCTTTGGGAAAAAAACTAAGTCTTCTTCCACGCAATTGCCACCTTTTCCCTAAACTGAGCAATTATAGAAATGGACTTCTGTTCGTTTTGAAGGCATGCATGTGCCTGACCCCAGTTTGACAAGCACGATTTTAAAAAGCTGCACGAAGTACCAATATGTAGAGATTACAAAAAAAGGCAAGACCGAGATAAACTACAGCTCTCACAGGAGCAGCTGCAAGTTGAACTAAAAGGCTTCCATTCACGGAAGAGCCGCTCTCCAGAGGTGCGCTCGCATCAATGAATGAATCAATACATGAATGAATCACATGGACTCCATCTTTGAGGTTGAGCTCCGCGGCAACACAATGATGAAAGCCGGTTCAGGGTGAAAACCGAAGAATCACACTGAGCGGGTTGACCTCTGAGATATACCGTAGCATAATAGAAAAACATCGACGTACGATGAAACCTGTCATATATTGTTAATTTTGATCTCAGGCTATCCAGTCAATTATTTTCCTCCGCTTTGTAACATTGCGGCACTGATGAGTCGCAAAGGGAAAATGCACGCTGTTAACCGAGCGCCTTCATCGTCACCTCTACCAAGTCCGTCGAAAAAAGATTTCAATAGCAAGAAATGTAAAGTTGAACTACTGTCCAGCCTACTGGAAACAAAGAGATGCAGTCAAAATGACGTAAGAAGATGAATCAGCAAGTGTGAAGCGTCTCCACGCTTTCCCCGAGAGAAAATAGTGACGGAACACATCAGCAACAAAACCTGAGCGTTAAAGAGTCGGTGTTAAAACAGAATCGACGATCGAATAAATAACACGCACTCACTTTTGACAGGAACAGCCGGACCAGTGCGGTTCTGTGGGAAGGATCCTCCAGACAGGTTCCGCGTTAGTCCCGATATGGCCCGACTAAAATCCCCAAATCCTTTAAGAGATGAGACCCCCGTGCCCAAAGCGTGCTGGGATAGCGTCCGTGGTCGGAAATGCCTCCAGCGGCATGATTTTATGTTCAAAAGAATCCGATTGAGGTCCATGGTCACGGTGGACGACAAAGACGATGAGGAGGAGGAGGAAGAAGAGGAGGGAAGCGGGCGGGAGGAGCCGGTGGGGTCCGAGGTATTGGTTTCTGAGGTACTGGAGTTGCGGAGTGGCGAGCTTGGAAGCGGCGAGGAGAGCGAGTCGAGCTGCGGGTCCGAGTCCAAGTACTGACAGACGGCGTCGAGGTCGGCGTGCGCCCGATCCAACAAGAACCTGGAAACAGCCAAAGACACAGCGTGACACTTTTGCAAACGTGTGGGGAAGACACTGGACACGCGTGTACTGTAGGGTCACTAACAGCATGCGTCCCCACTTTTCAGACTATGAACTGACAGGAGACTTTGGACAACCACACGTCAAGAAGGAATTTTGCTTTCCGTCTCTAGCATGAAACACTTGGCAGTCCCACGGATCTCGCCAGACGCCGCGCGTCTCAAGTGGACTGGTGCCGACACTCCGCCATGAAACACGGCAGCGCTTCACCAGTCCACTCATCTGCGTAACTACAAGGTGACATGAGACAAACGTGGCGGGGGGTGTTGCTGGGAATGGCAATACGTAGTCAACACTTCAGCAAGTGGCTTGATGTTCAGATGTGTTAAAAGGCTGGCTGGTGAGGAGCCAGCGTGCCGCTAACATCCAGAGCAGCTGCTTCTCCGGCACGCGCCATCATTTCCCCGCTCGTTCAGCATCAAAAGAACATTTGCCCCCCAAACAAGCACCTCAGAGAAGATCCTTGAGCTGATTTAAATGCGAAGGTTTTCTTGCATAGTAAAATTGTAGGGGGCCTGCCGCTGGCTCAAAAACCTCTGACGGCACAATTATCTAACCTGCATCGCATTAAGCTAGCTTGGTGTCATTTTCAAATGGAATCCCGATATTAACACTTGGACGTTACGACTCATTACTTATTTGAAAACTCTTTTCTTTATTACGGCCTTGATTTGAGCTGGGAGAAACCCGGGAAGCGCCTCGTTACTGTGCGTTTCTCCACTCACCTGCCCCCTCGGCCCACGCGGCGTCGCGCCAGACCCACGCAGCGCTGCGGCGTGTTTAGGGAGGTCAGACAGTAACGGAAGCGCGGGTGACCCAGGCCGCCCTCCAGCGGGCTGACCCACGGCCAGCTGCCGCTCTGGCCGGGACTCGACTGCAGAGACGG